AGAGAGATTACCCTTTTTCGCATTCGCAGAAACTCGCTGGACTTGAACTCATTTCGAGCGGACCTTTGAAGACGAAGCATAAATAGCTCTCCTTTAAGGTCCACAATCTCTTCCTGAAGCTCTTCAGTAGTCTTAGTTCTGATTTCCTTCAATTCCTCTTCCCTCTTCGCCATTTTCACCACCAATGACGGACAAGAAGGAGGCGGCGCGTTTACTGCACGCGCCTGAATGATTTTAGGAATCCGAATGCCATGGAAGGAGGATTTGGAGAGGTTAATCTTGGAAGTGAAGGTAACACCTGAAGGTGAAGGTGAAGGTGAGGCAATGGAGAGGCTCATCATCCTTTCTCTTCTTCTGCTGCTACAGATAAGGGCTCTTCAGTCTTCATATTGGTAAATATAATATGACAAAATGACAAAAATGATCCCTTATGTTTTAGATAGTTTCAAAGTGATATCTCAAGTATATTTTTTGACAGTTCTGTTCTTTTTAAGTTTCTAGCACATTTGAATTCTATTATAATTAAGGAGAAATTACATGGTTAAGCAAATATATACTAGTTAATTAGTTATCATAGTCATCGCGACCACAATCCATGATAATTATGTGGAATAAGGTTTCGAGTTTGTATAATTTGTACGTTTGTATAATTCAGAATTTGTATAACTTTTGTATAATGCAATTAGTATAACTGTTTATACAAAAACAGTTATTTCGAGTTTATACAAAAATAGTTCAATTATACTAACGAACCTGTGAATTATACAAACGAGACAGCTTAAACTGTAATTACAGCCTGTAAATATGCAAACTATAGCAATGGAACATAATTAAATTTATTATAATGACTATTTGCTAAAATTCCTCTTTATTAAACGTGACTAGAAATACTAAAAAAAGTCACGTTAAAGTCCAAAATTCACATAATAAATCATAATGTATCCTTCCGCGCCTAGTTTATTATTAGTATGGTCAAATTATAATATTTATACACATCGAATGTATATGTTGTGTATAATTTATAAACATGTATAATATATTACATATTTTGGTAAAAAAAAAATTATGTACATTATCTATGTACTCTGTGTGAGATCAAAATTATACAGTAATATATGTCTAAATCAGCCTCCATGTTGCCAACAGTATACCCTGGCTCCAGCATTTCTTTTTTAATCTTTTGATCAGCCAAGATGTTATGTTAGCCTTCAGTACACCCCATAGTGATCTCCCTTCCCGGCCAATAGTAAGCATAATTCATTGTGTAACGAGCTGGTTCAATTCTTGAATTTTAATCTAAAAAGCGTCTCAACAGTTGATTTTGAATTCATTTTTATATATTTTCTAATTTTCTTCTGTCAATTCTATGTAGAATTCGATTAAGATGTAATGTGCATCCCTTCTTCAGAGGCTTACCCTCTATCATGAATGTCAAACTTTGAAGGTGACTATTTTGCAAAAACAAAATAGAGGTTGGTTGTTAAAAATAACTTTTTACTTAGCTCAATCTTTTTGCAATTTCTCTTATTTTTCACTAAATAAATCAACCTTCAGAGATCGATTTCATTAAAATAATTTCATAAAAAAAATTTAGGCCAAATGAATTGTCGCAGATCGATTTTTATCAATTTTGTGTTTGAGCATTTTTTAAATAGTGCATAATATTGGAATCTAAACTTCTTTATAAAGAATTAGAATTTCAATATGATAGTGAATTAGTTAGGATTCGAACTAGAAACTAGTTAGATAAATTTCTTAATAAATATTAATCAACCATTAGCTAAACAAGTAAAGATCCCTCCCCAAACGGTGCTTCCACTTTTACCTTTTTTGTTTGTTTGTCACTTAACTTGAGTATATCAGAAGGCAACAAGAAGCAATAGATGAAAGGAAAGGTGACATAATCTGACAAGACTGAAGAAGAAAAAAGGTTTTGTGCTACAATCTGAAACCATGTTTGTTTAAGTAGCTACCTATATAGACTAACCATTCCTTATGAATTATTATCAGTTATCCGATTGGACTGATCATCATCTTATCTCATTACATATTCCAGAATTGTAACTGTTCTGTAGATTCTGGATAGTTAATATATACTGTATATACGATAATAATTAAATTCATAGTTTAATACTCATAAATATTTCAAGAATATTTTAATACTGTTGAATAAAAATTATTGAGTTATTGTGAACCTGCAAGCAATTAATTATTGGATCCGGGTAAGGTAAGTCCCTTTCATCTTTGAACAAATATATATTTGAGTTTTGAGAATGAAATCAACTCTGTTAAATGATATTTTATTTTCTAAAATTATGTTTTTCAGTGCAAATTAATTAACAAGACCCCAAAACAGATATCAATCGACAATAAGCAGAAACAAAATTTAAAAAAAATCATTTTATTGTTCAATTTATGCAAAACATTAATGTTCCAGAAGAGTGTTGAGTGTCACAAAGTATGGATTTTGACTCATAAAAGTGTGACCAGTTCAGCTGTTTAAGTTGACTTAGGTTTCTATATTAGGATATGATATGATCCAATATTCAAACTATCCTGATCATAGCAAATTAAAGTTCTTTACTTGTCTGATGTATTAAAAAAAATGTCTTATAATATTTGTCCAGTTTAAAAAAATTAATGAATTATTTATTCATTTTATCTATTTTATTTTTGCTATTAGATACTATTCAATATCTAATATATTTTTTAAAGCATTAAATTTAATATATTCAAAGGGAAATTTCTATTATTTATTGTTTCTAAAGGTGTGTCAAGTCAATAATGGACAACTATTGTTGAAAGGAGATTATAATTTTGGTTATGAACGATTTAGCGATCGACGAGTGATCAGTTCTGTATTCACTTGGCTGCTTTAAAATCATACATCTAAAGTCAATTAACACGATATGAAAAATAATTAAGTGTAACACTCATTCAATTGTACTTCAAAAGAGGAAGATAGCCTTTTATAAACTTATCTTTAGTTTTATGCCATTTTTACAATATCTTGAGTAACGAGGCATAAAATGTCAATATTCACATATATATTAGAGCAAATGCAAGCAATGAGTGTCATGCATGAGACATGACTTAATATATTATACAATATAATATTAAATGCCACACTAACATCTTCAATTTCATTTATAAGTGATCATAAATAAATCGTTTTTACGAAATTATAGATCGAACGTAACATATATATATATATAATTAATAGGTGGAGTTGTATTCATCAACAAGCCTTTCTTTCATAACTAGATAATGTTGCCCGTGCTATGCACGGGCCCAATAATATAAATGGTATATTTTGGGGCTAATAACCGAGTTTTTGAAGCGATTGTTTGCGTGGATAAAGGAATAAGTTTTTTTATCACAAACATGTACTTTCGTTGACGCTATTTAAGGCATAATAAGACTACTCACATACAACATTTTTGAAATATTTTATGTTGTCAATTATCATGATTTATAGTATTTTAACGATAGATTCACTTCAAGAATCAGTGGAATTTTTTGTATTTTTTTCAAAACATATTTTATATTGTCAATTATCATGATTTATAGTATTTTAACGATAGATTCACTTCAAGAATCAGTGGAATTTTTTGTATTTTTTTCAAAACATATTTTATATTGTCAATTATCATGATTTATAGTATTTTAACGATAGATTCACTTCAAGAATCAGTGGAATTTTTTGTATTTTTTTCAAAACATATTTTATATTG